CAGTGTAAATTTTACAGAAAAGTAAAGATATGTCTGACATAGTTTACAAATGTGGGAAGTAGGGGGGGGGGCCCAACAACTCCACCGATGCCATCATCAGCATTAATTTCAATATAGAGCTGGAGCCTGCCGAATTCAGAACTACGGTCGAAGAAGTTATGAAGAAGAGTAGAAACAGTTCGTCAGCAAAATGCCCTGGCATTGCCATGGCAAACGCGAGAAACGAGGTGTATTGTCGACCAACCGTACAACACGAATGAAGCGTCTTCCTCATGTCTGAAATCTAAGACACTGTACTCGTCATATCAGGGAAGGGCGAAGAAAACAACAAAAATATGACAGGCCATAATTCTGTTTTTCTCGTTATAGGAAACGCGTCAAACTTGCAAAAAATTCAAAATATTTATTCAGTTGTGAGGAAGATAAACCAGTCATTGCCATGCACAAAATCGAGAATCAAAAAATTAAAAGTTTACTTGCAGGAAATACATACACAAATATAACGTAACATATGCATAATTAATTTCGGTCTTTAACTACCCTTCTACCGAATTTTCAATGACCACCAAGCCATCGGGTTCTTTTGCTTTCAAATTCCACATCTTAAAACAAATATTTAGACAATATTAAACAAATTAATAAACCCTTTGGATAGAAACACATTTTAACATCAGTTCTGCAGAAAATTAGAATTTAGGTTCTATAAAAACAACGCAACCTTAAGGCAACGCAAACTTGGTGTTAAAAAATACAAATTCTTGTCGACTCACTGCCACTCTTGATAACCAATCCTTGCAAATCCTCAAGCCATGCTCAATCGCAAGCGTTAAAAATTCTTGACGAAAATTGACGTGATTGACATTTAAGTGACTGGGTTATGGTGAAATAAACCATTTGGCCATTTATTGCCAAATGTTCAGACATAGTCAACAGCTGCAGCAGTCAATACGTTTTCAACGTATTTTTGCTTCTTGGTCATACGGGTAAGCATCCCATCGTTCTGACTGAGCTAAGACTGATTTTCAGTGCTTCTTAGGCATCATCTAGATGAGGGAATCAACAAAGGTTAAAAACGCGAAGCTCGATTGGCTATTCTTTGCTATTACTGGCATTCACTGAAATTGCTACATTCAGCGGTCAATTCTTGAATGAAAGGGTTCAATGAATTTAAATATCATTCATCAATTTTTATTTCAAAATCAATTAATAGTTATAGTGAAGTATTATAATCTCACTATTTCAATTTGTGCGGTTTTAGAAAAAAAATTATAACAAGTGTTCCTTTCAACCGCTGACTGGAATAGGCTTCGGACACCAATGAAAAATGTTGCGCTTTGGCAAGAGAATTGGTATATGAATACTAGTATCCCTTGGGGAGGACTCTTATGTCAGATTTACTCACCCATGTTTATAATGGCGTAAGTGACGCTATTTTCTCATTATTTTTTAATGCTATTAATCTGATATCATCTGATTGATTTTCAAATTTATTTCATGAGATACATGTTCAGCATAAAGGGTACCCCACAGGCGGAATACGTTTTATTGTGCTCTGTTCAGAAACAATTACAAACTATGAGATTTCTATCCCAGTTGCCAAGATCGTCTCTTCGACAGAAATCGGACCTAAAAGACATAAAGAACTGTCATATACGGTCATTATTGTTTTGGTAGTCAAATATGTCAGAGTACATGACAGACCTTCACTAATTCACATTAGTAATTTCACTGCTAACAATTGGTAATGGCAAACATACCCGAGTTTAAATACTCACACAGTGCTTCTGAAACTCAAACTATAAATCGAATT